AGGCGACTATCTGTGTAGAGTTTGCACATTCTCCCTGTGTCTGTGTGGGTTTGCTCCGGTTTCCTCCCACAGTCCAAAAATGTGCAGGTTAGGGTGGATTGGGCCATGACAATTGCCCATGGTGTCCAGGGATGTGCAGGCCTGGTAGATTAGCAATGGGAAATGCAGGGTTACGAGAATAGAATAGGGGGTGGATTGGGTGGGATGCTCTTTGGGGGGGTCAGTGTGGACTTGATGGGCTAAATGGCCTGCTTCCATACTGTAGCGACTCTATGATTGCAAAGATATCGAGTTGGTGGTGCTCTTATTACTCAGTCAGAAGCTTATGGGTTCAAGTGATACTCCAGAGACTTAAGCAAGGAATATACACTGAGGTTTCAGTGTAGTACTGAGAAAGATGTTATTTTTTGGATGTGATGCTCAGCCAAGGCTCCTCACGAGACATCAAGCACTATTTTAAAGAGAAGAGGGGAGTTCCTTCTGTTGTTCTAGCCTGATCAATATTTATCGCTCAACTGACATCACTGAAACAGATTTTTCTGGTCATTACCATATTGCTTATTGTGGGATCTTGCTGTGTGTAGTTGGGCAACTGCCTTTTCTATCTTATAGTAACAATTACAGTTTCAAAGCAACTGAAGTAGTCTTTTGGTAGGATAGAACTTGGACAACTTGCAAAAAATACAAAGTCAAAGGGTACAACATTTTTGATTGCATGGGAAGAACATGCTGACTGGTTGTGAAGTAAAGTCTGATTTGTCGCCATGTTGCCATGGAGAATGGAGATGATGACTGACAGTTAACTTTTATAAAGCTGTAAAGTGTTTTGGAATGTCTTAGAGACTCGAAAAAGGTACTGAGAAAGTGCAAATATTCATTTCAGTGACAAATCGAGCCATCAAACTGTATTGTAATTACACAGACACTGGAGCTCCTGTACAGCAGCGTAAATTCATTCACAGGAACAGATGTTTCAACAGTATCTTGAAGTGATCCCAATAACAGAAACTGGTGCCTTCTAAGTTCAATTGGCATCAGTATTCCTAGAAAAATACTGTCATCCTGTTCTTGCTGCAAGTTCACCTTCCAGGATCAGTTATTTCAAACAAGAGTGGATTGGTTGGAACCACATGATCAAGGGGCATCCAATAATTTTTTTTCCATGGGTATAATCCAAAGTTCATCCTAAAGTGTGCCCATTACCTCATCACTCTACCAATGTCAACATGTCTGCCAATCTCAAAAGAACATGCCTGAATGTAAAGTGAGAGTTAATGATCAGAATCCAAGAGGAAGTGCAAACTCTGATTACAGAATGCTTACAGGACAGATGAAGACCATTCAGTACATCATGTCTGTGCATGTGCTCTGAAAGAACAACTTCCCTAGGCTCATTCCCACCTTCTCTACGTATTCCTGTGATTTTGTTTTAATATAATGATCTCATTCACTTTAGAATGCCTTGATGGAATCTACTTCCATCACACTCTCTGGCGACAGATTCCAGGTCCTAACCAATCACAGCATGAAAAACTTTCTTTGTCATGTTGTCATTGCTTCTTTGGCAATCACTTTGAATTTGTCACCTTCTGGATTTTGATTCTTCCACCAATGGAATCAGTTTCTCTCGATCTTATGTTTCTTGAGTCTAAGATAAAATCTTCGGGTAGTTCTTTGGTAGCATAGAACTTGAGTATTGCTGAAAAGAGAAACATTTTTTGAAGCCTTTCATCTTGTACTCATCAGGACATTTTGCAGCAATACAAATGTTGGCATTCCTCTTGAATTTGTATTCTTGTGAAATGTCCTGATGAGTGCAAGATGAAACATTTTGACAAGATGTATCTTATTTCAGCAATATTAAAGTTTTGAATTATTATGCCATCTTTCATGCACATTAGGTATAGCGTTTTTAAGAACATGCAATTGGAGAAGCTTTTCAATTTTTACCGTGTCATATTGCACTGCAGAAATTCACCAAAGATCCTCAGACAGCATCTTCTAAACCCATGACCACTTCCATCTAGAAGGATGAGGCCAGCAGATATATGAGTACACCACCACCTTCACGTTCCTCTCCAAGCCACTCACTACCTTTACACGGAAATATATTATTGCCGTTCCTTCATGATTGCTTAATCAAAAATCCTGGAATTCTCTCCCTAATTGCACCGTGGGTCAACCCACAGCAGGTGGACTGTAGTGGTTCCAGAAGGCAGCTCACCACCATCTTCTCAAGGGTGAGTAGGGATGGGCAATAAATGCTGGCCTTGCTAATGATGCCCCCATCCCACAAAAATGAATGAATAAAGAAAAAAATTATACCACAAAAACTAATTGGTAGGAACAGAAATGCATTGGACTTCCTGGTTGTTTCAAATGCACTGATTTCCATATGTTGAAATAGGTAGCAAACATCTTTCAGAGATTTACAATATTTTATTTTAAGTCTTACGGTTCCACTTCTTCCTACTGGATGCTTCCCTGTCCAAAGGTAAACTTCAACTGGTATTGTAATGATAGCAAAATAACAAAGGAAAAAATAACAGCTGGATCAAAATATCATGGAAATGGGAAATAATAGCACGAGCCCATGTGGTGCACACTTATCCTGAAAAGCTTCAAGGTTACCAGTGGATACGGTGTGCTCTCTCTCAAGGACAACTGGACTCAAATGTTGCTTTGCAATGATTTAGCTCCTTTCTCTATCTTGAAAAACCCACTACCAAATCACCCATTTATCTAAATATACAAAAATCAAATAAAGAACTCTATTTTATTTTGAAATTTTTAACGTATCACCACCAAATCACCCATTTGACTACTTAATGAATGAATTACTAGTACTGCCCACCATAGGAAGGAAGAAAGAGAAAGAGACTAAATGAAATGAAATTGGAGTGGGAAATAAGGCACTCCAATAAACACACCCCCCCCCAATGCCCACCTCTCTCTAATTGCCTCAAAGGTGTTGGTGGGCCCTGCATGCTACCTCCCCAAGGACACCCATGCACAGGCATAAGAACCCTGCTCGTAAATACGAAGTCCAATGAGCGTGATATGTTCTCAATCAATTCTTGACCTATTTGAGTCTTGTTAAGGCTCTTGTGGCACAATAGTAGTGTTCCTACTGCTGGATCAGGAGCCCCATGGTCAAGTTCCACCCACTCTGGAGATGTGTGACAACATCTTTCAACAGGTTGATTAGAAAATATCACTGAGTCTTATTAGGGCGCTTGTAACATCGTGGTAGTGTCCCTACCTCTGAACCAGGAGACCCAGGTCCAAGACCCACGACAGGTGGAACTCCAGTGACGTGCACTAACATCTCTGGTAAGGTTGATTTTAAAAATGCCTTACTGGAGTTGGGGCCTTACCTAGAAGACAAGAGGCCTGGGGTGGGGGGTCAAGTCCCACCTGTTTCAGACTTGTTAAGAACTGCAGATGCTGGAGTCAGAGATAACACAGTGTGGAGCTGGAGGTTCTGAAGGAAGGGTCCTGATCTGAAACATCAACTTTCCTACTCCTCTGATGCTGCCTGGCCTGCTGTGTTCCTCCAGCTCCACACTGTGTTATCTCTGCTTCAGAGATGTGTCTGAACAGGCTTGTTAAGATGGTTTCTTGATTTGATTTGAATTTTTTTAGTTGTCACATGGATCTGAATACAGTGAAAAGTTTTGTTTTGCATGCAGTATAGGCAGATCATAACACAGAAGGTCATACAGGCCCTCGGGTGCTTAGACAGAGTGAGGCACACAGGGTTACAGCGGCACAGGAGGTGCACATGAGTCTTAAAGGGACCCACATTTCCAACTCTGACGTTGGTGAGAATACATTTACAATTAGCACTCAAATGATTGGTGTAAACCACCGGAAAAATGATTTCACTCCCTGCTTTAGGTTTGAACACGGGGTTCTAATCTGAAGCAAGCTTCAGAAGAAGTGAAACTGTGGACAACTTGAATGTGAAGCTCTACCATTAAATGGAGTCCTACATTCCGTGCGATGACAGTTTGAGCCTTGATGTTTAACTCTGTATTCAAGGCGTCGCCTGCAGGGGCTCAGGAGCCCTAGACTGGTATGGCAGTCTCTGCTGTGGAGGAAGGCTGAGATTCACTGGTTTCCACTTTCTCTGGGATCTCTTCCCAGCTGGTTTGGAGGGGCGGCCTACAGAAGTTGCACCTTTTGGTGATTTTTGTCTCCCAGTTGTCAACTTTGCATCTAGCACGCAAAGTCGCCCAGTCGCAGAGTACGGATACCCAGGAGGCCGTGACCCAGTGAGTAGCTCACCATGTAGTAAAGCCTTTAGGTGTACACCCATCATCCATCAATTAGACCACGGAAATATTAGTGGAACTGGGTGCAGGCTGATGGAATTAGTATGCTCCTGAATCGGTGGCTGGGATATATCTGAGAGGAAACGATGCTTCATAATGGGCAGATAACTGGACAGCAGTGCCACTGGATGGTTGTAAATGCTTGGGGAGATTTGAGTACAACGAGCCTAGGTTTCCACAATCTATTGAGCACTTTAAAGGCTTAATAACCAAAAAGGCAATAGGAAATTCAGAACAAGGAGCAGTTTGGCAGCAAAGGAGAGCTGGTGAAGAGGAATGGAAAGGCTCACTCTGCAAGTGGAAACCGATGGCCTTTTCCCTACAATATTTAATAACACTGCAAATACTGTGGAAGTGAAGCCTTGTTTAAAGACTTTATTTTGGAAGAGGCATGTGAGAATCCCTCTCAGCCCACATCCAATCAAAAGTAAGTTGCCCCCCCGACCCAGTGAATGGTGGGTGGGGCATATATGGGGCGGAGGCTGGCATTTGATTGGCTTAAAAGCTGCCGGGGTGTAGGGGTCTCGGCCAATCTTAGCCCTTAAGGGGTCATGATTGACGTACCCCTCATAGACGTCACCATGGGAACTGTTGACAGGCCCCTACGCCTCAATGGTTGCCATGGATGTTGTCAATGACAGAGGGTTATTAAACTTCATGCAAAAGTTAACAAAATAAGTTACACAGTTACGCCGGTGCAGCAAGGGTGGGGCATCTGAACCAGCTCAGGGGAAAGGGGAAGTTTAAGCAGAGAGAGGGGGAGGTTTGCTTAACTTGAGGGACACACACATCCTTCAACTCATCTTCCAACCCAAGATCCCAAGTCAGTAAACTCCACTGAAGAAGAAGGGAAGCACTAACAAGACCAAACATGTCGCAGCAGGAGAACATGGCTTTGGTGTTAGCCTGTGGAGAGTTGAAACTGGTAATCAAACTGTCTCTTTTTCTTCTTATGATAGAGCAACCATGTGTAAAACATCAGGAGGTCGAAGGCACCTGGGTGAAAGACTTCTTCTTGAGACAGCGTAAAATATAAATAAATACACGTCAACTTCATGAAAGCGAGTTGAGGTGATTGAGATCTAAGAGTTGTTTTGCCAGTGTGTTCAGCCTCTGCTGTGACAGTGCCTCTTAATTATAAGCAAATATCGAAAGGCAAACTAGGGAGCAAAGTTCAACTGGGTGCAGCAAGGGGTGGGGCTTGGGGGAATAAAGTACGGAACGTGGGGGGAGAGGGGTGGAAAGGTGAATTCTTTTATCTCCTGTGTTTGTTTCACGGTTGGCCATCGCTGGGATAAGTTTCCTATTGTTGTCAGCAGGTACGTGTCCAAGTGATGCTTATCACGTCGACACTGCTCTGTTAACTGCGGCGCACTGTTGGTGCTGCTTATCCAACGGGACTTCGTCAAACAACCCCCTGTCTAGCTCCCCCCCCACCCCCTCCAACTCAATCCGTGCTGTCTCGGATTTCTTTTTCTTGGTTTTTAATTAGTGCTACTTCGCTTCAGTGGTTTACTTTAGTCTACTGTATGGGACTAACTACAAATAGCACCACAAAAAAAACTCAAAAACGATTTTGATTTATTATTGTCACATTTATTGAGATACAGTGAAAAGTTTTTTTTTGCGTGCTATCCAGGCAAATCACACCATATTTAAGTACATCAGGGTAATAGAGCAGAATACAGCTACAAAGAAGGTGTAGAGAAAGATCAACTCTAATATATGAGAGGTCCATTCAAAAGTTTGATAACAGCGGGGAAGAAGCTGTTCTTGAGTCTGTTGGTACGTGTTTTCAAGCTTTTGTATCTTCTGCCCAATGCAGGGGCGGGGGGAACGAGAGTATAACCCAGATGGGAGGCATCTTTGATTATGTTGGCTGCTTTCCCGAGGCAACGGGAAGTATAGATGGAGTCAATGGAAGGAAGGCTGGTTTGCATGATGGACTGGGCTGTGTTCACAGCTGTCTGTAATTTCTTGTGGTCTTGGGCAGAGCATTTGCCATACCATGCTGTGATGCATCTAGATGGATGCTTTTCTATAGCGCATCTTTAAAAATTGGTAAGAGTCATTGTGGACATGCCGAATTTCCTTAGATTTCTGAGGAAATAAGTGCACTCCTTAAATATAAGTATACTTACAAATATAACCTCTTGATCAAAAAAAAATATTTCAATCACTTGTGCTAGATTTGGTTTTGGATTAAAAATATACCTCTTGGGAAAGTGCCCGTGAGGTGAGGGAAATTTTAGTTTGTGCCCTGTGCTGAGTGTTAGGCACTTTGTAAAGCAATGAGTAGGGTTTCTGGCAGATTTATGATTTGGTCCTGAGGTGGAACTTGATGCTGAGTGGATGGTTGCCCTCATGGGAGAGTCTAAGACCAGAGGGCATTGTGTCAGAATAAAGGGGTGCCAATTTAACACTGACACGAGGAGGAATTTCTTCTGTCAGAGGGTTGAGAGTCTTTGGAACTCCTTGCCACAGAGAGTTGTGCCGATAGAGTCCTTGTGTTTATTTAAGACTGGGGTAGACTGACTCTTGATCAGTTGGGGAATCAAGGGTTAATGGGGAAAGTGGGTGGGGGGGGGTGGTGGGAGTGGATGTGAGGAATGTTAGATCAGCCATGATCCTATTGAATGATGGAGCATGCTCGAGGGGCCGAACACATACTCCTGTTCCTTTTTCATTTGGTTTTAGATAATGATTGCTCTGAAATTTGAAAAGTATTTTAGTTCTTTCTCATGGATTTAAATGGAGCATTTATTTCTCAATCTTGCACAGGCCAGACTTGATTCAAGTACCTGTCAAGTTGATTGATCAGCACTGTGCAGTTACAAGTCTGTATCGGGATTGGGTCATTATCCGTTGGAGTTTGGAAGAATGAGAGGCGATTTTATTGAAACTGATAAGATCCTGAGGGGTTTTGGCAGAATGGAAGTGGAAAGAATGTTTCTTCTTGTCTGAGACTCTAAAAGCAGGGGACGTAATTTAAAAATAAGGAGTCTTCCACTGAAGGTAGAGAAGAGGACTATTTTAATTTTTTCCTCAGAGGGTCATTATTCTGTGGAGTTCTCTTTTGTGGGGGAGTGGTGAAGGCTGGGTCATTGGACTTCTTTTAAGGTTGAGTCAGATTTTTGATTAACAATGGAGTCAGAAGGAATAGTGGGTAGAGGAAAGTAGAGATGAGGCTACAATCAGATCAGCCAAGAACTTATTGAGTGGCAGAGCAGGCTAGAGGGGCTGAATGGCCTGTTCCTGGCCCTAATCCATGTGTTCATAATGTGGGTATAGGGACCCAATGTAGGATTACATGGAGGCCTGAATTAGCATTATATTGGCCCATTGGTAAGAATCTAGCTTGATTCCTTCCTGTCATATTTGTGAGACGCAGTCTGTGGAAATGTTAATGATTAATAGTTAGTGTAATAGTCTCCAAAATAGGACTGAACAAAGAGTAATAAATAGTTAAGTTAAACACTGCTGATGTTCCAAATGAACAAAATGCTGGTTATCTTTATATCCACTTGACACAAGCCATGCAAGAAAGAGTTAAAAATATTTCTAGCATTGAATTATGAGGGAGAACTAGGGAAAATAGGGTCTTTTTAACCTTTAAAATGTGTAACAGGATGGGTACATGAATAGGATGGGTTTAGAGGGAGATGGGCCAAATGCTAGCAAATGGGACTAGATTAATTTAGGATATCTGGTCGGCATGGACAAGTTGGACTGAAGGGTCTGTTTCTGTGCTGTACAACTCTATAATTCTGTAACTGGGAAGAGTTGTTCTAGAGACAGTGTATATACAATGTAAAATGATTTGGATCAAGTAACTTTGCAACAGTATCTCAATTTTGAGGCTGAGTTGGATAAGTTTTTGAATTACAAGGGAGTCAAGGATTATGGAGTGGGCAGGCAGGATAGTAGATTTGAGGTCAATTAGATCAACCACGATCTCATTGAATGATGGAGCAGGCTGATGAGGCCAAATGGCCTACTCTTGCTGCTATTTTCATGTTCTTTTTTTATAACGTTAGCTAAGACATGGAATAAGGTGCCGTTGGCTCATGCTAAAATGCAGATTTGTAGTTGTGTCAGGACGAACCTATTCATGAAAAGAATCATGAGAATTTGCAAACCTCCCCAAGGATAGGGTAGATTACAGCAAGCATTTAGATATTTTGAAGACCCAGATAGGGGAAATGATGGGTGAACTGATTTTTTGATCAGCTAAGATGGAAATGGCCTCCTTCAACTACCTTATGACCAGGGAAATACAAAGAAACATTTTCCATTGGAAAGGGAGAGCTAACACCCAATTTGAATGGTTTTCTTCTTGTATATTTCCAGCTCACATATAATTAGCAGCAAGAACTGTTATGCCTCTTATTTAATCGTACATAAATTAGCTTGCAAGAACCTGACTCCTTTTTAAAAGTCATTTGTCCTTCATTCACAGGAAAAACGTCCAGTTCCAGAACTCTGCCCTGGCGGTAAGTCTGTTTATCCTGCTTAAGGTCCTTGAACAGTGCTGTATGCACTTAAAATTTTTATTGCAGTAAACTCCCCATTAGTCAGTACCCAAAGTCCAGAATTGTTCATGCAACCAGCAAAAAAAAATTCACCGAAAATTTACCATTTTAATTAAATTTCTTCAAAAATCAGCATTTGTTTACCTGATATGCAGTGTTTCTCCACACCTTCACTAGCAGCACTACCTATCACCTCCTCAGCGACGAAGCTCCCATTACAGCTAGTTGAAGTTGTGATCGTATTACATCCGAAATCTTTCACTCACCAATCTGCTATGTCGTCTAAGGTTGAATACTGCCCAGTTCTAAAGGGAAAACGTGTTGTATTCTTGAATAAAATGACATTATTTTTTCAATAAAATAATGTCCTTCAAGTTGCCGGTTGAACTCTGGACTACTCCTTCGCCTGTCCCCAGATTACAATTACAACATTTAAAGACATTTTTGACCGGTACGTGAGTAGGAAAGGTTTAGAGAGACATGGGCCAAGCACAGGCAAGCAGGACTAGTTTAGTTTGGGAAAGCTGGTCAGCATGGATGATTTGGACCGAAGGGCCTGTTTCTGTGTTGTATGACTCTGACTCAGGGACAAAATAGTCCAACTGTCTGAGACTCTAAAAAGTTCATTTTATCCATTGGCTAGCTACAGTGCTTAATACCTTGCTTCCTCTCATCACCTGAATTTGATTAGTATCCTTGATGTCAGAAATAACCAAGCAGGTTGCTCAAACATTTAATGTCACCTAAAAATAGATGGGTTTGGGCAGGGTGGGGTTTAAGGCCTGAAAAATTCTGTTTCCCCACCCAGACCTGTGGTTGACACGTCCATTTCTGTTATTAACTGAGACTGGAAGGTGTGCAGGAGACTAACCTGCTCCAAGGAGGGAGGTTAGAACTTTAGGTATGATCATTGCCAACTGCGAGTCTTCTTGCCAGTTGGTTTTTCACCTTTAACCCTGGGCAACCAAGTGTCAGGAATACCTGGCAGCTTCGTCGAGCTGAGGGTTTGGGAGAATCAGGAGGTAAATTACACTTCACACTGTGACCGCAGGTACCTGCCTGAATGAGGCACTCATTCTACTACGAGACTTCTGATACGACAAATGCCCCCAGATTCTTGATTGACAGATTAATTAATTAATAAATATTGTATACATGTATATTGTATCAATCAAGTTAATCAAAATTGCATGTTCCCACCTTTTCAAGACTCGTAAGAGTTTTACTGTCATTCCACAGTGTAAGCAAGAAATGCTATCTTATTGCTGTGCTGTTTATTTCAGACGTCCTGCTGAAGATGGGTTTTGTTGGGATCTGTAGTACGGATGTCCATTTCTGGTCAGAAGGAAAATTTGGGGATTGGGTTGTCAAGAAACCCCTTGTTCTTGGGCACGAAGCCTCAGGGACTGTGGTTAAAGTGTCCTGTGGTGTGAACCATCTTAAAGCAGGTAGGTTTACATAAGTTCTTGCGATGAGCTTTTTCCATTTGCAATTTATCTTGAGCAATCAGTTTGAGAACTGGTTGTTTTGGGGAACGTGTTGCTTGAGGCCTAGGGCAAGGGAACTGGTTGCTAAGGGTCAAGGACTTGTTGCCAAGGACTCCAAGACTGGTTGCTGAGTATCTCGGAATTCATTGTTAAAGACTAGTTTCTAAGTGTCAGGCTACTGGTTCGCAAGGGCCAAGGGATTGATCAAGGAACTAGTTTCTAAGGCCACAAGATTAGTGTCTCTGAGACTGTTTGCTAAGTCTGGTTTCTAAGGGTCATGTTTGAATAGTAAATGTAATTTGGGTCCAAAACACTTTCTCACAGTTTGAGGGTGAAGCCTATCTTCATCCATGAATCCAAATAAATTGTGATGTCGATACTGATAAGGTTGTCTTGTGGGGTGCAGGTGTTATATTGCATTTGGCCAGGCCAGGATTTATTGCCCTATCTCCAATTGCTCCTGAGAAATGTGATGGTGATCTGTTGTATTGAACTACTGCAGTCTTTGTGGTGCAGGTACACACACAGTGCTGACAGGTGGGGAGTTCCAGAATTTTGACCCAGTGACAGTAAAGGAACAATATGGTACCTGAAATAATTTTACAGGGAATTGGATGGTCCATTATGTTGGGACAGGATGATTTTACCTCTGAGGTCTTTAACACCCACCTTTATCACCGCGGAAGTGTTTTTACTCTGTAAGTTGGAATTCTTTATCTTGAAACAGTTTTTGGGCATTGCATCATATAGAAAGCAGTTAGGCAGATGTTTGGGATACATAGATTAATTCATTGATTGGATAAAGGTAATAGATGGAAAACATACCTTTGGTGATAGGGAAAAGAAACTTTGCTTGGGTAATGGGTGCTTGTGTCGTTACCTCTGAGCCAGGAGAATTAGGTTCAAGTCCCACCTGCTTCAGAGGTATGTAATAACATCTCTGAACAGGTTGATGAGAAATATCCATTGACTGGATAGATGGAAAGGGGGTGAAGGATTCTTTTGCAGTAGTAAGTGTCGCAACTTCTGAGCCAGCAGGCCTAGGTTCAAGTCCTGCCTGCTCAGGAGAAGGTCATAACCATTCTGAACAATATCTAGATGGAAAGGTGGGATAGAGTGTAGAAGGAGCTGTATGCACAATGTACTTGGTCTCTGTTTCACTGCTGGCTTGGATTCAAATTGACAATGAAGTAGAGGATGGCTGCCTAAAGGTGAAGATTGAAAAATAAGAGTTATTTTCAAACAGAAGCTTATAATTTGAGTTTGTTTTGAAAGAATGGCCGAAATCAAATGTGAAGTGTCAGGATGCAATTTCTCACCGGTGTTCTGTGAAGTCGAACCATCTGATCAATAGAAGAATGAAGTAGAGATAGGGACATGGGTTACATCCTTACCAAAGTAAAAATAAAGTAAGACCTTGAAGTGTATACACTTACAGAAACTAAACATGTCTTAGAAAGCGATGAGGCACCATGCACTTCGCGTACATGTATGTTGGACAATCATGAGGACCAGACTATGGCTGATGGAAAGATGGCTGAATACAGACAGAATGATACAGAGACGCCGGGATAAGGCTGTTTACCTGGCTAGACAACTACGGAAAATTGACAGTAAAGTATCAGATGCCAGAAGGGGCCTGAGAATGGAGGAATGCCACCATTATAGGGAGAGCAGGAAAAGCCATCAGCAGATATAATTATTGGCTAAATGTGAAAGATGAGGGTCAGGAGGTAAGATCCACAGATTGGAAATGTGAAATAAAGCGGCGGAAGGCCAGAAAACACAGTATGAGCTCTGACGGTAGAACGAGTTCCTTAAACATGGTTCAAGGAAGAGATTGCAAACTTGTGCAAGGAACTATGGTCTTGGAAGGGGAAGATTTTGTAGTAGTAGTCCAAGATCAAAACAGGAGTGTGAGTAGATGAGCAGTTTTACAGAAACAATGACTATGGAACTGGCTGGGAATACTGCAGGTTGTGATTGGGAGTTTTCATTGCTACAAACAAACTATAGGGTATGTTGATAAAGAATGGCAAATAAAGAGTAAGAAAGCTGGAAATAATTTGGTGTACACTGAGGTACCAGGTAGGGGACTACCAGCCTTATCATTCAGATGGATATACACAGGAAAAATGGGGCATATAAGGTTAAAGCCAAGCTAGTGGCTCAGGGATTTGAGGAGAAACTTGGAGATTAGGGTTTCAGAGTAGATTTCCATATCACAGGAAACGTGAATATGCTTTTACCTCTATTTTTGCAGGGTAAAAAATTTCAAAGGAAAGTATTTTTGAAACCACCTAAAGAGGAGATATAGAATGGAAATTGAACAAATGTGTTTGAGTTGAATGATGCAGCAAGGGTGTATGGTATTTCTCAGTTAGGCCCCACTCCCCGCCCTTGCTAAAAGAAGGTTGCTTGGAACTTAGAATAGATCCAGAAATGTTCTACTAGTGTATATAGAGAGAAACTGACAGGCATCTTTATGATGCATGTCAGTGATATTCTATGGTGAGATGTTACAGAATTCGACAATGTAGGATAGTCAACAGGGAATTTGGAGTTGGAAGTCAGGCTTCAGGAGCCTTTAAATGCAAAGGGTTAGATATCAGACAAAATAAGTCAGCAGTGAATTTTGATCAACGGTCCTACTTGGGAAGTATCAGAAGTTACATGGCACCAGGTTATAGTCCAACAGGTTTACTTGAAGTTACAAGCTTTGGGAGTGCTGCTCCTTCATCGGGTGAAGTCTGACCCTTTGTCTTCACCTTCCGGAAGCTTATGATTTCAATTAAACCTGTTGGGCTATAACCTGGTGCCGAGAGATTTCCGAGTTTGTCCACCCCAGTCCAGTACTGGTACCTCCACATCATGACTACTTGGAAGGTGCTAACTGCATCCCAAATAATCGAACCAAGTTCTCACAGAAAAATGATTTTGCATCCAGGGAGAAAATCGGACCAGATAAGGCAGTTAAACTGATGGCACATTCAGACTAGACTTGATACCAGTTATAGCATGGTGGAGTTGACTGCTTCTATTGAGGAAGTCTGGAGCAGTATTCCATGCAAGCTGCTGTGTAGCTTACAAGTTATATGCTCACCCATTAGATGAAAAGCAGCCAGGTGGGTTTGATTATCAGCCTGCCATTCACAGACCTCAGAGATTCATACAGCGGCTGGAAACATGAGAGGGAACGTTGGGTGTGGAGAGCAAATAAAGCATTTTGAAAAATGCACACCCAAGTTTCCAGCATTGGGTCTGGTCCAGCATTCTAGCCTTATTCTTTTTAGCAATGGTGTATATTCCAGTCTTTCGGGTGACTATTCTAACACGGCAGGGTTTATCGTATTCTTAATGGGAAAGAATAGTTAATGCTGTGCATTGGCCTGGCAAGCCTGCACAATAAAAAATAGTGGTTAAAGGCATCCTGGCTACTGAAAAGCTGTTTCTATAGAAGCTTTAGATACAGGGTCTATTGATACAATATTCCAAAGAAAATCCTGAGCAAGAAGCAATCTGATGGGTTCAAATCCATAAGCAGCTCATTGGGATAAATTAGAGATTGTTTAATCAACTCACTCACATTATTTTCAAAGATGACTGTGGGAAATGGAAGGATACACTAATGGAATAGTGAGCACTCTTTGGAGGACCATGACAAGTGGATAGTAAAAGGGGAAGCCAACTTGGCATTGGCCCAGAGTGAGAATGTTTGATGTTAATCTTGCCAGTATAAATAGAGGAGGGGGGTTTCATTGTACTGTCAGCACATTGGACATATTCTAACTTTCAGAAAATGAAATTGTGCAACCACAGTACATTGGTCGTTGACGTAGTTGTTGAAAGGTATTTAATTGATGTGAGAAGGTAATGTTAATTAAAATCAATGTCTTGTGACACAGGGGATAATATCCCAGTCACTCCAGGTTCAAGGTCCCCTCCTCGATTTGATGTCTATGGAAGGTGCAGTCATAATGCGACCATGCAGCTTGACAATCAGCTTGTAAATCCTTCCCATACACCTATAGCAGACAATAGGAATGGGAGAGTCTCCATGTCAGAGATACTTGACTTAGACTGGTGTATCTCAATCTATATCCTTTGGCTTCAGGTTAGCTTCTAGCTACCTCTTCCAGGAAAATAAAAAACTATGGGAGCAAACACAAGCTTTTGCTTCTCACGCCTCTAGGCATAGGTCGAGAGTTGGCAGACAGGTTTTATTTTCCCTTTATTCATTCACAGATGAAGGCATCGCTGACTAGGCAGCATTTATTGCCCAAACCTAATTGCGGAAAGGGCACATCAGAGTCAGCCACATTGCTGTCGGTCTGGAGTCACATGTAGGCCAGACCAGGTAAAAATGGCTGTTTCCTTTCCTAAAGGACATTTAGTGAACCAGATTGGGTTTTTACATCAATGAATTCATGGTCATCATTAGACTCTTAATTCCAGATATCTTATTGAATTCAAATTCCACCATCTGCCATGGTGGGTTTCGAACCACATCCCCAGAATGCTATCTGGGTCTCTGGATTAACAATGCAGCAATAATACCACCAGGCTGTTGCCTCCCCAGGTAATGTTAATCTAATCCATGTACATGGAAACTGATGATATGACATCCACAGTTGATAATATATCCTAACCTATTTTGCAGTTGAACCAGGTTAGACTAAAATTAATTCCCATAAACTTTAGTAGCTGAATGGTGTATAAATCCTATAATGAGTTTTTTTCCCCAAAATATGCATCTTAAATTTGTCTAATTTGTTGCATTTGTCTTTGATAGTATGCAGATCTTCACTGTTTATTGTACAGTAAGTGTCCATGTTTTTCTTTTGCTGCAGGTGACAAGGTTACTATTGAACCCATCGTCCCCAGGGAGAATGATGAATATGTTAGAATTGGGCGCTACAACCTGTCCCCAACATGCTTCATGGCTGGCTTTCCTCCTGATGATGGGGCTATGTGCCGATATTATGTCCATAAAGCCAACTACTGTTACAAGTTAGTCCGTCACAAACTGTATTAATGATATCATTGTCACGGAGAATTATTTTAAGTCCTGTTTAGAGTAGACTTAGTATTTTAGAACAGGGATTCCAACAAGGGCAGCTGGATTGAAGTGCACTCTGACAAACCAGGCTATTAGAGGGGCTGAAGAAAACAAATGTTGTAGAATGGCTGATCCTTGGCCAAAGCTGCACATGTTTCGTTGTTGCTATCCTTTATCATTGGTCTTGTCCCACCAGCAGATGGCAGCACCTCTGGTGATGGGTATGTGGTTGGGAAGAGGTTGCCCTGGGTGTCCTTGACTTTGGACTCCATGAAATTTCATGGCATCAAGTCAAACACGGGCAGTGAAGCCTCCTTCCTATTGCCCTCAAACGTCACCCTCCCCAGATGGTGAATCAGTTCCCCTCTACTTTGAACTGCACTAGGAGGGAGCAATGAGGCTGGCAAGGGCACAGAGTTTACTCTGGGTGGAGGACTTCAATGTCTATCATCCAGAGTGGTTGGACAGTACCTTACTGGCTGATCTGGTTGAGTCCGAAAGGGCACAGCTGCTAGACAGTATCCGTGGCAGATGGTGGGGGAACTAACAAGGGGAAAAACGTACTTGACCTCACCTTCACCAATCTGCTGGCTGCAGGTGCATCTTTCCATGACAGTATTACTAAGAGTGACAACTGCTCAGTCCTTGTGGAAGTGAAGGCTGGTCTTCAATTTGAGGATACATTCCATTATGTATGTGGCACTGTCACTGTGCTAGATGTATAGACTTCAGATAGGTCCAGCAATCCAAAAGGTGGGCATTATCAGCTGTAGAATTGTGCTCAATTCCCATTTTTAACCTCATAGTTTGCTGCCTCCAAAGCAAGGTCCAGAGTGCCCTCTGGTGCTGGTCACCTCCTTCTATGATACATTTTGTAGCTCCTCTTTTGAAAATATTGAAAGGTCAGCATTAAGTTTTGATGTCCTCGGACATAACTGCCATGGACAGTAGTGCTCTGAATTACTAACATAGAAAATGGGAGCAAAAATTGGTTATTCAGCACATTAAACGCTCTGCATTCAACATGATCATCGTCGACTGTCTATCTCAACCTCATACTCGCGCTCTCTCCCATACCCTTTTAAGCTCTAGAAATCCATTTGTTTCTGAGACATATTCAGTTACTTGACCTCCACAGCCTTCTATGGTAGAGTGTTGACTTCAGTGGCTTTGGTGTTAGCTTACTGAAGAATATTTAAAGCTACATACACAGCTCCGCTTACTATAGCGGCATAGTGGTTAGGAATAACATACAGGGTCTGGGTAATGCATTTTCTACTATAGTGAAGTGTAGCATGCATGCTTTTTCGTTCTATTTTAATACCCCCAGGGTTCAAAGTTGAATACTCCAAGAATGTTTTGTTATCGATGGAGCACTCTTCAAAACATCTACCCCTGCATCCAATTTAAAATTAGTTTTCTTGTAATTTATAATATCTGATATGCAGTTACTAGTAGGAGGACTGCACTCTGTTTTCTACGTGTGTGTGCCAGTGGTGGATTTCCGTCGTATTGACTTCTTCTCCATCCTTGTTTGATTTTCTGTAATGTTCTACGTAGTGGTGTCAATTGTTTGTTTTCCCTTGTTTCTTGCTGCCTCATGCTTTCTCTGCAATGGGTCGCCTGCTTCGCTTTGATTCCTTGAAGTCAGTTACTTGCTGGCCCCCACCACCATGGAGCTTCTCTTCAGGCACCTCTCCCACCTCTTCTAGAATTGAAACACTGCACTGTCTTCATGGTTCACCCTTAACACTGTACTGTCGCTCTGGTCTCTTAGAGGTAGATCTTCAATCATGCAAGAAAAAGATCTCACAAAGACCCATGTTGAAGTTTCAGGCAGGGTGGAAGGTGTCCCACCAATCCTGTATAGGGTCTGTTTACAGTCATACACCAAGACCATCAACACGCATTAGATACATTTAGAGAAAAAAAAACAACTCTGGAACTGAACCATCAGGGGGAAATTCAATAATTGCCAGCAGCTAGGGGATACGCTAGTGTAGTGGTAATGTCACTGGGAAATTACTCAATATCGTTGTGGGTTCACTACCCACCAGAGCAGCTGGTGGAATTAAGTAGATAAAACTTGCAAGCTCTTTTTTAAGAATAGTGAGCATTGATTATTGTAAACCCCAGCTGTTTCACTTAGATTCCTTTCCCAGAAAGGGGATATATCATTGTTACCTGGTCTGGTCTGCAATGTGATTCCTGACCAATGACCAATAGGTAGATTCTTCATGTCTTGTAAAATGGCTTAGTGAGCCACTCGATTCCAGGGCAATTAGGGATGGGCATCAAAAGTTTGCCTTTTCAGTGATTCCCACATCCCTTAATACAATGAAAAAGAAATAACTTTCCAGGGAAATGGAGATGTCATCTGACTATTCCACCATTTAGAGCTGAAGCCAGCTTTGGAACAACACGACATAGAGCAGCAAAAATAGTCCAGCTTCATTGACAGTAACCTAGTGTTGGAGGGTTGCAACTACTGTAAAGGGGCTGATGATCCAAAAGCACATGTACTCGGTGTTATGCCACACAATCAAACTGTGGACACTGAACTGCACCAGACTTTCATGAATTTCGAGAAAACCTCAGCACAGATGACCAATGTTGCCACACAACTGAGGCAGCCCAAAGATACATTGATAGAGGAAATGGGTTCGCTGTCCCAGAAATACTAGAAACTTGTAAACTATTGTGACTTATTAGCTGAGATAAGCTGAAAATTAATTACATTTAAAAAGGTGCTCTTGAGGAAAGCAATGAAAATCTTCCTTCCCCTTCACAATGGAGGGACAGCAAGCCCCTGTTAAGGATGGAAATCAGCTGCATAATGAGGATGATCTTTTGAAACAGGGTTCATAAACACATAAGGCTGTAATAACCAACTAGCTATCTGGTCTAGCCCACACTATAATGTAAGAATTTCTCATCAGCCCAGGTTTCCTCAAAGATGAATATTCACTTCAGAAATGTGCTTGGCCATGGAAAATCAATCTTCTCCCACTGCTGATTCCCTAGAGATTTATAAATCATGAGGGGCATGGATAGGCTGAATAGCCAAGGACTTTTTCCTAGGGTGGGGGATCCAAAACTCGAGGACATAGTTTTAAGGTGAGAGGAGCAAGATTTAAAAAGGATCTGAGTGGTAACTTTTTCACGCAGATGGTGGTGTGTGTATGGAATGAGCTGCCAGAGGAAGTGGTAGAGGCTGATACAATTACAATGTTTAAAAGGCCCCTGGATGGGCATATGAATAGGAAGGGTTTAGAAGAATATGGACCAAATGCTGGCAAATGGGATTCCGTCAGATTGGGATGTCTGGTCGGCACGGATGAGTTGGACCGAAGGGTCTGTTTCCATGCTGTATGACTGTATGACTATGACTATGACAATGATTGTGGGGGTCCATGCTTTCTATGCATTCTCCAGTAGAACTGAGAATGCTGCTGCATATTAATGTAACAAGCCAAAGAGGCTTTTGGACAGAGTAGGGAGAGTGAGGTAGTAAAGAGTTAAACATTCATGGTTAATAAAATGTTCATGAAAGAACTTTGGGGAGACCTTGAGTAAAGCATTAATTCTTTCTCTTCTCCAAGGATGTCAGATAACATGGCACTGGAGCCCAAGTCTATAAATACCTTGTAAATAGTTACATAAATAAAGCTTGTTAATCTTTGTAAGGGTCTAGACTGCACCTTTCCATATCTTTGTTGCATATCAATTTCTGGATTGATCATGAACAGCTGTAGAATAGGTGGAACAGACTCCCACTAGAATAATATTATTGAAAATATTTCTACAAAGCAAGGACGAGCGGCAGGATAACCAATTATCTAATACCTAAAAGATAATGGATGGAGTGTTTAGTTTATAAGATAGTTATGCACATGTCAGTAACACCAGTAACACCAGTCAGGAGCCATGACTGGAATCTCAATTGAGAGGCAGATGGGTACTAAAGTTTTTTTGGATAAGTGTTTAATATCTTGGGGCCTTAATACTTGTGCAAGTCACAATCCAATCTAAATTTAGACAAATTTACCATTTGACTTCTGGGAAAGCCTCTATGTCTTCTTAACAAACCTATGTAAAAGATCACAAAATGTTCCAGTAGTCTTGGGATAGGTGGCATTGAACAGTGACTCAGTGAGCAATTCAAGATAATCATGCCAGGACATGCCAGTACTTTTGGAAAATTACTATTGCAACAGAATTAAACCACTGTGGGCTTGTGTTGCAAGTTGGGCTTTTCTTTATCACTATTTCCTCATATAAATGACTTGATCACATATCAATTACAACCTGGGACCTAATTCTCTGTTGTATTTAGCCAATATAGTTTAGGTTACACTTCCCATTTTACAGTTTGGTTACGGGAAGGCACTGAACTACATGAAGCTATATCAATGAGGAAATAGTACGTACATCTTTACTGAGGCACAAGGCCACATACTTATTGGTTAGTATTGGGTAACCGATGTTGTGTCCATCTATTTGAGGCACTGGCTGATGCTACGCTTGAAAAAGATAGTATCTGAAAGGGAAAAACAAACAGCAATTCTTGGAAATGAAAGTGCTGGTGGTGCTGGAGCTCTTTTTAAGTATACAAGACAGTGGGTGTCATTCATTGGTTTTACTGAGTTTGTCCCTCTGGAATGTCAGACATATCTGCAGTTCTCTTGCTCTCAACTGATCCTATAAATGGACACAAACGTGGAGCACCTGTCCCCAGCATGGGTTGAGACGTGGCTGTCATTTGCTTTTGAGACCGTCAGCTCAGATTCCGAGAAGGAACTGGCCTATATATCTGTGGCTTGGACTGACAGGAATATACAGTGAAACCAGAGATGGAGTAGGCCAATTCTGAATACACTTATAATTACCCCTTTCAGTTGTTACTACAATCAGTCTTCTCATCATCTGACAAATAGTTCTAGCAGGTTAAGGTACAAACATAGACACAAAGAAAATAGGAGCAAAAATAAGTATTTGATGCCTTGAACCTGTCCGCCATTCAATATGATCATGGCTGATTGTCAAGCTCAATGCTGTAATCCTAACCTACCCTATATCCCTTGATCCCTTTAGCCGCAAGAGCTATAGCTACCTCCTTGAAAACATTTTTCACCAACACTCTGCCAGACCCTGAACAAGGTTTAGACCATTTTCTTTAAATCCTCCTGCAAGGATTTCCCATTGATGGCTACACTGTCAGTGGATGGCAGAGAAAGAATCTCTGAGTGCCTTAGTGTCTGAAATGCCAGTGGTTATTGGGTTAATATGTGTGTGTGCATGGTCAATGTTTGTTCTGTTTCCATTCCAGACTTCCTGAATGTGTGTGCTTAGAAGAAGGTGCATTAGTTGAGCCTCTCTGTGTCGCGCTTCATGCCTGTCAAAGAGGGCGAGTGAAAGTAGGTCAAAAGGTTTTCATCTGTGGAGCCGGTAAGTCGTGTTTGCTTTAATCGCCTGAAGTGTTGTGCATCTTTCTGAAGTCTATACTAAAAAGCAGAGGGCTTACCTCAAGAAATCAGACTCACAGATGAAGTGAAGTTCTTCGAAATCCATTCTTCTGTCCTCGGAAGCTCAATCAGAAAACTTAGTTTAAATCCCTTCAACCAGTCACTCTCCATTTACCAAGCAATTGTTTTGGTAATTTCTCACCCAAATTGTGGGATACATTGGAATCGAACCCTCGACTTGACTCCTCAGATCAGTTTTTCCCACAATTGGTATCCCACATGTCCCATCAGCTGAAAGAACATGCTGTGTACAGTCCACCTTGCACCTTTGATTCTTTCACTTCCACTTTTACATGGGTGATACAATCCACTCTGTGGGAACTGATTAGATTTCTCTCCAACATGGATTGGGATTTCCGATTGGGCTTCAGTCATTGAGCCCATAGAAGATGGTGACCATTTGGCCCATGGTTAAAACGCTATCCCACTTCCCCATTCTCACCCCATTTTGTATAGCTATGAAAAATGGATAGGTAATAAAAGATAAAGAGAGCGTAAGTGGAGTTTGCTCACTCTGATGTTTCCCTGAATGCTTGGTGAGTTGCAGGAATGACTATCTGGCATTATCAAAAAATGCGCAGAAGTAACATCACAAAATTACCTAAAAGCTTGACAAGCAACTAATGAACCAAAACGCAGAAGCCTAGCTGAGACACAGAATGCTGAAACTAGGAAGCATGAGTTAGAACATTTAAGTCAATGACAGATCACATACAGAAAGCAAGATAGAGAGAGAAATAAATATTTAATTGATATATTTAAATAACAGAATGATGTATGTTTTTTCTACTTCTATTAATCATTAGAAATCATAAGGAATTAGACTGCATACTAGTAAAAAATAATTTCAGTTTCAAAAAGACTTTGGCAATAATTAAAAGTAATAGTAGTGTTAAAAATTCACTTGAATGTAAAAACTCTATTTCTTCCCCCACTATATTTAGTTGGTCCTTATCATATAGGCATCCCAACCTCATGCTGTCATATTTATTTGAACATTTACGTTTCCAACTGAAGTTTTCAAATGTACAAGACACCTCAGATTGTGCACATGGATGTTGAAAGTTGCTGTTTGATTTACAGTGCTGAGTCTAAATTTCTTATGATTTCTAGCATACCTAGTGTTTAGCGTAAAGCATCTGGACTCTAGGAGAATATCTTTTGCACTCCTCCTGTTTGACCAATTAGATATGACCATCCCACTCAATAAATAAATAGTCCTTTGGGTGGATTTTTCAGTAAATTTGGCACTGATCATTACTAAACAGTAAATCAGACAGCAACTTTCAACACTTGTGCACAGTCTGAGGTGTTTTGCTCCTGGAAACTCCATGTTTATATAAATGTGACAGAGTGATGTTTATCTGTACCTATGTGATAGGTACCAACTAAATAGAGTAGGAAAATAATTAAAGTGAGTACATTCAGGTGAATTTTAGCACCATGATTAACCTTGATGTGGAGGTGCACGTGTTAGACTGGGGTGGGCAAGGTCGGAAGTCTCACGACACTAGGTTATAGTCCAACAGGTTTATTTGCAATCACAAGCTTTCTAAGCGCTGCCCCTTCATCAGTTCACCTGATGGAGCAGTGCTCCAAAAGCTTGTGATTTCAAATAAACCTGTTGGATTATAACCTGGTGTCATGAGACTTACGATTAACTTGAATTACCATTAAAAAGGCTTTTTGACACTGAAATCTTTCTTTAACAATTGTGGAGTCTAATTACTTATGATTTCTAATGATTAATGGAAGTAGTAAAACATTTGAATCGGTGTTTTATTCATATAAAATCTTTCAGACAAAGGAAGTCACATGCTGTTAACAGAGTATCTGAATATTTGTATCTGTTGGTTTCATATGAAGCAAAGCTTTTGTTTGAAGAATATCCCTCAGCCACAATAGGCATTTATGTTGGCCCAATGTAACATCTTTAACTATTCATTGGTGTGCCATCACTAGATTTTTCTATCTTTAGAGAATATTGAAGTTATATTCTTTAAAAAGTTAGAGCTGTGGATTTATTTATTTCTCTCTCTTTATCTTGCTTTCTGTACAAAATCTGTCATTGAATTAAATATTCTAACTTAACACTTTCTCGTTTTAGCATTCTGTATCTCGATTAGGATTTGTCACACTGATTCATCAGTTGCTTGTCCTGTTTAGAGGTTTCAGATTGCCTGTAGATGGCGTTGTGCTGTTTTTGGTCACAAGTTTACAGTGTGAAAAGTGTAAAAGGATCATAATTTTTTAAGGACCCTTACCAGTTTAAGAATCTTGTTAAAGGCAGTTGATTAAGTGGGCAGATTTCAGATGTTAGTCCATTTGGAAAGCTGAGTCACAGACTTCTTACGCCTGTGCAGGCTCTGTATTTCTGTAAGGATTCCTTCAACTGATTCATTAAAGGGAGACACTGTTTGCTAGCCCTGTTCACCCGGGTCACAGTCAGTCCCCAGTGAGAGTGCTGCACTGTTCTCTGAAAGAAACACAAGGCCCACCTGTGGGCACATGTCACTACCACAAGATACAGGGACAAGGCAGGAGAATGGGGCTGAGAAGCATATCAGTCAGGAGGTGTCTTGTTTGCTGGTAACCACAAAATTCAGGCCTATTTCTCTTTAGTGTATCCAGTGATATTGTTTGTCTTTGATTAACAAACTGCATCTCCTGCTCCCAAAGCTTTGGTGGGACCCCAAGTGAGTTTTGCGAGCTGACCTTCTGGGTTGGGTGGATTCTGGGGTGCCCACCCTCTCCTCTCTGTCACAGATCATTTTCCCAACACCCTGCCAATGTATAGCTGATTCCTTGAAGGGTCAGAACAATGTTCAAGCATCGCTTTGTGAAAAGCACCATACTGCTCTTTTGAGCTTAAACTGTGACTCTTCTTGATTCTGAAACCACCACCCCCCCAACTTTCTCACTTGTCTCTCTGAGTCTATCTCTTATCTGTCCTTGGCTGTCTGTGAGTGTCTGTCCTGCTGTGTGTCTCTTTTTCCATCTCCCTTCCTCCGTGCTCTGGCCCAGGTAACGGAAAGAGCCAATTTACAAGGCGAGGAGTCTGACAAAATGTGGAAGGGTGCAGGAGATGACTTGTTTCTGATTCAGCTGGGAAATGCTGAGTATTTCATATGCCATCTTCAAAAACATGCAATCTCTGACTCACCTTGGGCAAATGCCATGGGAGTTACAACAGGAAAAGGAAAGAAAAATGCAGCTTGTCAGTTCTAAGCATGAGAGGTGAAAATATTTAGACCAATAGGTGTAGGAACATAATTAGGCCAAATCAACCCATCAGGTCTTCTTTGCAATTCGATTGTGGCTGATGTGCTTCTCAGCCCCAATCTCCTGCCTTCTCCCTGTAACTTGTAGCAACATTTGCTCACAGGTTATATTAATATAACCTTATATAATATTATATCTGGACCTTGTGGTCCTTTCAGTGAACAGTGCAGCACTCTCACTGGGAACTGACTGTGACCTGCGTGAAAGGACTAGCAAACAATGTCTCCTCTTAATGAATCAGATTGAAGAATCTTTACAGATAAATACAGAGTCTAAACCAGCATAACAAGGTCTGGAATTAGCTTTCCAAACAGACTAATGCTTGAAGCCTGCCCACTTGACTGCTTTTAGTAAGACCTGAACTGTTAAGGATCCTTAAAAATTATGGTCCCTTTACCCACATTCAGTCTCCCAGGTCTTGCACAGTTGTACTGTATCAGCTCTGGATCCTTCAGCCATGGACAAGTTCCAATTTCAGCATGCAGGTGGTACGTTATGGAACGTCCTTGTGCTGTAACTATCACATGGCTGTGGTCCAATACTGTGGGGTGTGGGATCTGTAAGACCCCACACTAGGCTACTTCTGCTGCCAGGACTGATGGCAGGCCAGCTACTCGGGAGTGAAATGACTCACATTGCAAGCGCTTTTTATTTCCACCTCTGGTAATTCACTTGTATGTTTGGGATTGACAGAACACTGGAACATAGAGCAGAAATGGAAAATAGATATGCCAAAGCTAGTTGAGAAAGGGGCAGTATTGATATAGCTATCTGCTTTTTGTATGGATATGTAAGTGCTCAATTTGTGAGTTCTCTCATAAGCGTATCCATTCATGTTACTGCAAGATTTTGTAACATGTGACATATTTATCAATTAAGGGCCAATTGGACTGTTGACTCTACTTGTCTGCAAAGCCATAGGAGTGACTCTGATTGTGGTTTGCGGTAAGTTTTCATTTATACCTTTCTAAATTATTCTCAGTGTCCTGCGCAATATTTGTGTGGGTTAAGATTGTTCACTCTTACAGTGGACGATGTGAGGGAGGGGTGGACTCTGCTATTCTGAATGTTGTCACTTGTACTACAGTATATAAGTATAGGCCGCAACTTGGAGAGTTTATCTCATCTGTAGGCCTCCCGCCCCTATCCTGAACAATAATGGCAGTGTTGACTGTTTGGCCTCTCTACCAGCAACCAATGGATGGAATTTGAAACAGTATTTGAGTTGTGTGAATGATAGCACAGGGCTATCACCCCCTTCAATGAGTACTATTATGAAATTTGGACAACACAATGGCTCAGTGGTTAGCACTGCTGCCTCACACCGCCAGGGACACTGGTTCAATTTTAGCCTCAGGCAACTGTCCATGTGGAGTTTGCACATTCTCCCCATGTCTGTGTGGGTTTCCTCCGGGTACTCTGGTTTCCTCCCACAGTCCGAAGACGTGCACGTTAGGTAAATTGGTCATGCTAAACTGCCCATAGTGTCCAAGGGTGTGCAGGTTAGGTGAGTTAGCCATGGGAAATGCAGTGTTACAGGGATGAGGTTGATGTCTGAGTGGGATGCCCTTCAGAGGGCTGGTGCAGGACTTGGTGGGCCAAATGATCTCTTTCTGCACCACAGGGGTTCTATGAGTGATTCACCAACTCATCCCTGATCCAGGAGCACCCTGCAATTGACACAGCCCACTGCTGACCTGCTTTGGAATTGAAAGCTCCCACCGCAGACTTGTAGCTGGCTGATGAGTACTTCCTTAATATAAGCTCCTGCTTTTCTGTTTGGTTAGAACCCAATAGTCCATCACCTTCCAAAATGTCATGGTTTTCCAGATGTGGAACCAACTGTTTAAGTGAGAGGGGGACAAAAGAACCTTGGAAGATAGAATATAATGTAGGAAAATGTGAAGTTATGCAATTGGTTAGGAAGAATAGAGGAGCTGAATATTATTCAAATGGTTAAAAATAAAATATTGCAGATGCTGGAAATCTGAGACAAATGGAGAAACTCAGCATATCTGGCAGCATCTGTGGAGAGAGAAACAGAGTTAACATTTTGAGTCTGGTATGACTGCTGTGCAGTGCTGAAGATGAGTCATACCCAATTTGGTACATTAGCTCTACCTATCTCCATTATTTAAAGTGGAGAAAGACCGCAGAAAGCTACATAACAGGAATTCCTCGTGCATGAATCACAAAATGCTAGCATTCAAGTTCAGTAGGTAACAGGGTACACAATTCAAAGGGAGTGAGAATGAAAATGGGGAGGTTTGGTTGAAACTATACAAGGCATTAGTCAGATAACAACTGGAATAGTGTGAACAGTTTTGGTCCCCATCTTTAAGGAGTGATTGGAGGCGGTCCAGAGAAGGTTCATTAGGCTGATACCAGGAATGGAGGGACAGTCTTACGAGGAGAGGTCGAGTAGGTTGGGCCTGTATTCATTGGCATTTAGAAAAATGAGAGGCAACCTTATTAAAATATGTAATGTTCTTAGGGGACTCCACAGGGTAGATGTGGAAAGGTTGGTTCACTCTGTGGGAGAATCTAGGAGCAGAAGGCATCATCGCAGAACAAGGGGTCGCACATTTAAGATGGAGATAAGGAGAGATTTATTCTCTTAGTGGGTATTGAATCTGTGGAATTCTTTACCACAGAGGGCTGTAGAGGCTGGGTCATTAAGTATATTCAAGCCTGAGATAGATTTTTAATCAGTAAGGGAATCAAGAGTATGGGGTAAAGGCAGGAAAATTGAGTTGAGGATAATCAGATCAGCCATGATCTTATTGAATAGTGGAGGAGACCCAACAGGCTGAATAACCTACTTCTGTTCCTTGATCTTATGGGAACGTTGGTTTACAGGTACTTTGGTGTGTCTGGATTCCTGATGATTGGACATGCTAAGTGGCTGATAGAAGACATTTGGGTGTCACATCTCTTAGGAACTGAATCCTCAGTGGACACCCTAGTCCCACTCAGTCTGCCTGTTTTCCCCTGGTGTCTGTTCCTGGAAACTCAGGTTGTGTGGACAGATTGCAAGTGATAGCACTACGTAAACCACTGGCAGGTCCCACTTGGCTCAAACTGGTCATTCTCCCAGCATCCTCACTTTTTTCTTCTACTGAAAACCACCTTCTTCGAATTCTCTTCCTGTCACCACCACCCATGTCTCCAAGAAGTGCAGGGATCTCTGAGATAGTAAGAACTGCTGATGCTGCACAGTATGGAGTTGTAGGAACATAGCAGTGCAGGCAGCATCAGAGCAGCAGGAAAACTGGCGTTTCGGGTTGGGACCCTTCTTCAGGGATCTCTGAGACTTTTTTGTCACTACAATTGAGAGCATTCCCTCAGTTACCTCTGCTACCTGGGCTGCCAGAGGCATCCCCATTGTCCAAGCCCAGAGCTTGCATTTTCCTTCAATCTTTCCTCTGTCTCTTCTCAACTCTTCCCCAGCCATATCTTGTCCAAGAAACTCACGTCCTGTTCCAAAACCTGATTTTAACCCTATTTCCAATAAACTATCGACACTTCTCTGTCTCTCTCTCCTGAGGTGTGGTTCCTCCCTCCTCCAAATCTCCCATCAGTCTCTTACAAATTACCACACCATGTCCAACTTCTTTCCGCTCCAGCATCCTCCAAAATGCCTTCCAGTTCAGCCACAATTCTCTTGCCAAATCATAAGTAACATCACCAAAGCTAAATGATTGATACTTACCCTTCTGAGTTTGCCTTTGAGGCATTTAATCATTCGATCCTCTTTCCCTGTCATCCAGTTCGGGAGGTGGTGATGAAGTGATAATGTCACCAGATCAATGACCCCAAGGCATGGGATCTCTGGTGATCACGGTATGAACCCCACCATGAAAGCAATTTGAATTCAAGTAACTCCTAAATTTAACTGATTCACAAAATATCTGGAATTGGAAACTTGTCCCAGTGATTGTCACCATGAAACTAAAGTCAATTATTGTAAAAATCCATCTGCTGCGTCCTTCAGGTAAGGAAATCTGCCATCCTTATCTGGTCTGGCCTATACGAGGCCCCACGAGGCAAAGTGGTTGACTCTTAATTGTCCTCTAGAATGGCCTAGCAAGCCACTCAGATCAAGGGCAATTAGGGATGGACGACAACTGCTGACCTTGCCAGTGATGCCCAGATCCCATGAAAGAATTTTGCAAAGAGTTGAGTGGAACTGCACTCATCTAATTCCATTCCTGTTGAGGCAGTGTCCATCATGAAAGGAACAGAGTTAATGATCCAGGTGAAGAGAGCAAATAGGAGCCTGAGGCTAACATCTTATTTAAAAGATGACAACTCTGATAGCACTCCCTCAATTGACAATGTCAGCCTGCGTTTGGAGCTCTAGGCCCCCAGAGTGGGACTTGAACCCACAAGCTTCTGAATCTGAGGCATGAGTTTATTTTCTGTTGTTTTTCATGCGATTAAATGTTGATTGCTAAAAACATTGACAACATCATAATCACTCAATTCTATTGTCTAGTCATCAGGTTGTGACAAAATCGTGGCTAAAATGTTAACAACCTCGCAACAATTCTGTCCCTTTGCACAGTCAGTCCTCCAACACTCAAATAAGAGACATAGGTTCTATCCACTGAACCCTGCCCGATGCTGTCCTGAAATAGGGTTACAGAGTTTATCTTACTTCATTCATTAGGTGTGGGCATCTCTGTTTCGGCTAACATTCATTCCGAATTGCTTAGAGGGCAGTTAAGAGACAACCCATATTGCAGTGGGGCTAGAGTCACATGTAGGCCAGCCTAGGTAAGGATGCATAAAAGGGCATTAGTGAACTAAAAGGGGCCTTTGACAACAATTAATAGTGATGACAATTGGGCCAGACTTTTACTGAATCCAAATTTCACTATCTGCCGGAGTAGCGCTTGGTCCCCTGTTCCCAAAACATTACTAACCTGGGATTCAGGTTTACATATCCAGTGACATTACCCCCAAGGCACCACCTTCCCCCATGTCAATGTCCAGCTAACACTATTTCTACCCTCTGTCTTTCCAAATTCGCCCATTAACACTCCTGCATCACTATTGGAAATGCCACTTTGATCCCCACATTTTATGTGCAAAGAAACTCCAAGCTGCCTCCAATAAAATTAAAGCAAAATACCGCAGTTGCTGGAAATCTGGCAGCATCTGGGGAGAGAGAAACAGTTAACGTCTCAAGTTCAATATGACTCTTCAGAACCCTGGTGAACTCTGAAGAAATTCTGAAGAATTGTTGTACTGGACTCAAAATGTTAACTCTGTTTCTCTCTCCACAGAAGCTGCCAGACCTGCTGAGTTTCACCAGCATGCTCCTTTTATTTCAAAGCACTCTCCAGTTTTACATTCTGCCTAAATTACCTTTTTTAAAAAAGTTCTTTTTTGTTATTATTATTTTTAACTACTTTCTTAGACTCCAGGTTGAAAGATGGGAGTTACCCAGGTCTCCAAAAGTCTGGCCCAGTTGTCATCACTATTAATTGTTGTCAAAGACCCCTTTTAGTTCACTAATGCCCTTTTATGCATCCTTACCTGGGCTTTCCTACATGTGACTCTAGCCCCACTGCAATATGGGTTGTCTCCTAACTGCCCATCTGGCCCCATCTGGGCATCAAGAGGACACTGCACTGGAAGCTGCTGGCGAAGGAAGTGAATTGGCAAATCTGCAATCTCAGCAACGTCACTGAGAGCAGTGGTCCCTGGTAGGATTACATCCACTCCCCAAGGCATGAGACCAAATGAAAGGTTAGGGAGGGTGAAGTGGTAATTGGTGTTGGGATGGCGATGTGGTAGGTGAGGGAACATGGGACAGGAATGGAAAGGTGCAGGGGAAGGGGAACCGGGAAGAGAGGAAAGAAGGACTTTTGGCTTTTCCAAACAGGCCCAGGAAACGTGTTGAGGAAAAATCGAAACCCCCATTTTAGCCCATAATC